ATACTAGATGTATGTACATGGTAGAGAAATAAGTCAGGGAAGGGGGTGCAATCAGAGAAGGCTTCACAAAGGAGGTTATGCTTCTGTTGGGGTTTGATGGACAGAATGGAGAGTCTTCCAGGTGAGCATAGACTGAAGGCTGTTCAACCCAAAGGGAACCACATACCCAAAAGCACTGAGGTTTGAAAAAGCAGGATCATTTATATTGATAGAACAGCCAGTGAAGGAGTGGCCAGAGAAGAAATCTGAGAGGTAGCCTGGAGTCAGATTATAAAGGGACTTGTATGTTTTGCTGAGATGGTTAGGCTATATTCAATATGTACCTAGAGAATCTTTAAAGCGTTTTAAGCAGGAGAGAATTGTAAATCTTTCTCAAAATGTATTAGTATTTCCTTTCTGTCTCAGTAAGTAGAAGAGCAGCAGGAAAAGAGGAAGACCAAATATGAAATGGATTGACTCAATAAAAGAAGCCACAGGCATGAGTCTATAGGAGCGGAGCAGGGCTGTTGAGGACGGGATGGTGTGGACATCACTCATTCATAGAGTCCCCAGGAGTCAGAGCCCACTCAACAGCACGACACACACACTAGTAGAATGTACTGGACATACTGGATCTTTTGCCAATGATCGAAGATTTTTCAGTGATATTTTCAATGAATATCAGTTCTCATTTCACAAAGAAACACATTGAAATATAGGTGGAGGATTTGTGCCACTCCTAAAGACCCAGAAACGATTTCTTGAAATTTCTTTATAAAATTAAATTACTATCAACTTCTTTCTCTCTCTCTCTCTCTCTCTCTCTCTCTCTCTCTCTCTCTCTCTCTCTCTCTCTCCCTCTCTCATTTGGGAACATTGTGTGTTTTACTAGGACCCATCAGCTCCAAGTCAAGTAGTTGTTTCAATCAAGTTGTGGAGGGCATGGGGATTGAACTGGCAACCTTGGTGTTATGAGCACTGCGCTCTAACCAACTGACCTAACAGGCCACCCCGACACCAAGTCACCCCGACACCAAGTCGCCCCAACACCAAGTCGAATAATTGTTTCACTCTAGTTGTGGAGGGCACATCTTAGTGGCCCATGTGGGAATCGAACTGGCAACCTTGGTGTTATGAACACTGCGCTCTTATCAAATGAGCTAACTGGCCGCCTTTATTTTCTCTTAATATGTCTCATTCTTGTTAATATTACTAAAGGGCTGGGGGAGGAGATTTTGGTTGACAGCTTTTAGTAAGTGGATTTTTCTTAATTTTACTGTAGAAAATCGTTGGTTAATAGATGGTATCCATGCAGTTGCTGAGTGAGGTGTAAAATTGTGCCACTTATGGATAGAATTTGGAGATTCGTTATACTTCTTGGAGAATGAAGATATATTTATCATTTCCTTCCCTGTTCTTTACTCAACACATTCGAGGTCTGACAATTAAGTTCATGAACTCATCCTAAAAAAGACTGCTACATACCTCGTTGCTAAATATCACTACAGTCACCTTCGAAGTACTTCCTTTGGGAAGCTATGCACCCACACCAGTTCCTAGTCCACCCTTCAAAGCAATTTTGGAACTTTTTCTGGAATGGCCTCAGAGCTGTTGTTGTATTACCCTTGATGTCCTGAATGTTATCAAAATGTCTTCCTTTCAATACTTCCTTTATGTTTGGGTAAAGAAAGAAGTCATTGGGGGCCAGATCAGGTGTGTAGGGAGGGTGTTCTAATACAGTTACTTATTTACTGACTAAAAACTCCCTCATAGACAGTGACATGTGAGCTGGCTCAGTGTGGTGATGCAAGAGCCATGAATTGTAGGCAAAAAGTTCAGGTCATCTAACTTTTTCATGCAGCCTTTTCAACTCTTCCAAATAATAAACTTGGTTAACTGTTTGTCCAGTTAGTACAAATTCATAATGAATAATCCCTCTGATATAAAAAAAAGGTTAGCAACTCGTTGCAACAAGTTCACGAATTTAATTGTCTGACCTCGTAATACAGAGGGCGCCAAAAAAATGTATACACATTTTAAGAAGGGAAAACTATTAAAATTGTAATACTCAATATATACAGATAACAAAAGGTGAATACAAGTCATGTGTATACATTTTTTTGCCACCCCTGGTAGTTACTATATAAATGTATGGTGAATTGAAAAGGATTTTTTATGTAAATAGTAACATTTTTTTCTGAGGAAAACTATTGACTTAACTGGTAGTTCTTTGATATGGTTTACCTTCGTACATAAACAGGGAGAATAAGTGATCATAATGTATTTCATTCTCTAAATGAGTTTAACAAAGATCTAAATACAAGGATGTTAAAAAGCTTTAGTCATATTGGCACATTGGGGGAATATTTCTTTTTAAAGAATGGGGATTTGGCTTAGAGATGGGAAATGAAAGTACTAGATAAAATACCTCTGAAGGGGAAAGTGCAAATTGTAAATTTCTCCAGGATTAGAATTGGGGCTGTGTTTAATAACACTGAACATTCTTTAGAATGATCTACATATTGGAAGTTCTAGGGTTGCAGATTTTCTAATTCTTCCTCAATGTGAAATACCAATAGGAGTATTAGTACCAGGAGGCTGGGTGTTATGAGCTAAAAAGTGATAAATAATCCTATTGTGGGCAAGTGTGAAACAGAGAAAAAATAATATAAATTATATTTGTAGGGTGATGATCTCAGCATGGTTGGTTAAGTGTAAGGAAGAGAATCTAGAGGTTACTACAGACTGTCCTCTGGAGTTATGAGTCCAATGTGCTAGTGTAACAAAACAATCTGGACATCATAGAGCACGTGTTTTACAAAGAACTTGAAAACATCACCTAGACCTTGGACAAAAACTTGCAGTTGTGTACACATCTGAAATACTAGGGTAGGTGTCTTTATTTCAAGATCATATTAGAATATGGAATATTCTTATTCTGATTATCTTCTAATATAGAATATTAGAACCCAGAAGCAGTGTCAAAATTTGAGAGTAGTAAATCAGGAGAAAACCAGGAGTGTCACTGTACCTTGACTTTAGAGGAAAAAAGTAACCACCAAAAAACAAACGGAAGAGGCTGAAAATAGGGGTTTAGTTACAGACAATGAGATATGTATCTGTGAAGGCTGTATAAATATGACCCAGATATTTCCTAGTCTCTTGCCCCACTAGAAACACCTAAACCATCTACAATGTTTTCCTTTTCTCACTCTTTAGTATTTATGGCTCTCCCCCAGGAGATTTTTCACCTGCAGTCTCGGAGAAGTCCTATTGACTTCCGATGTTTATTTCTCCTTTTCTGGCGCTAAACCTCCTGCTAGGGTACTACTGAGCGCTGCCACCTTATTGGGTTCTGCTGGGCTATCACTGCAAATGTACTAAATATTCTGAGGTCCAAAGTCTCAGACTTCATTGGAAAACTTAAACGTTTTCCCCTAACATTCTCAGACGGGTACCAAAGTACTAACTGTACCCAATTTTAGTAGTAACAACCCTTTCGGTTCTTACAGCGTCGGTGGTAAACTGAGGACATGCTAACGCACCCACGAGGCTGCCGCAGAATTTCTCTTTTCGTGGTGAGGTTTTGCTGCAGGGTTAATTTAAGCATCCAGTGCCAAGCTCCTTTCCCTCAGGGAATAACCTTCTTGTGCTTGCTTGGGCTCAACCTGGGCTCCCTTTGCTCTAGCAAGGGGGACAGACGTCATCAACTTTGATTGGCATGAGGGGGACCATCTATTCAATCTTTTCAGAAGAGAAACTTAGCTCTTGTGACAAACGCCAAGACAACACAGAGGACGTGAATTAAACGGAACTATTAATGAAAATTATTTAAAATATTTTTTAAAGATGAACGATTGCGAGACAAACAAGGACACCTCCAGGTTTGCAGATAGCTTTGTTAAAGCTCTTCAGGGTAGCGAAATGTCCGTGGAATCTACTGTAGGAGTAGAGTGTACAGCGAGTAAAAACTTGTTGAGTAAATCTCAGGAGGAGTTAGTACGAGAATTTCAGGTATTCTAACTCATTCTATCCACTCCATTCACTGGATGAGGTTCCAGCTCCGGATATATTACTCATTTGGAGAAGATTTTGAATTTTTCTCTTCTCCCTTTCCGGCTTTCTCTAATACAGGTTGTGATTTTGTCCACGACCCCTACCAATATTTAAAGGGAAAGGCGTTTAGAAGAAGGAAAAGTAGGGGGGACTTTGCGGCTGTATTTCTCGTACCCATAAAGGGAGAGCGATAATGGGTAAGGGGCGTGCAGACTAACTCCTTCCTTGCCCAATCAGGTACACAGGAAGATGTCCTTTTACCAATAAAAATAAAGTTCGCTTTCCGGAGGCGGGAGGGTGAGCCTTGACTGTCAGTTCTCCAAAGCAACGATAGAATAGAGGACAGAGAGTGATTAGAGGCACGACCAACCCGGGAGAAGGGGTGGAGTTGGGGTGGGGATAGCGCTGAATGGCGGCCTACCTGGCCAGTGGGATGAGAGGATTGCTGTTCCTGTTGTAGTGTTTCTCACCAACCAGAAAGGCGAGGGAGTGGGCGGGGTGGGGAAGGGGTGGGAAGAGCTCGCAGTACAGCCGAGCGCCCGTCGGGCTCCGGGGGAGAGAGAGAAATCCGGATAAAATCAGAGTCGGAGGGAGGTTTAACCACAGATCGGTTCCGATAGGATTATTCCTTAAAGGGGACGCGCCATTGTCAAGAGAACGAGCCTGGGGCCCGAGGGCGGGGACCAGCGGCGGCCGGAGGAGGAGGCAGCTGCACTTGGACTAGGGACGGGTAGGTGTTGCCTGGGGAAAGGCGCTTCATTTCACTTTCTCTTCCAGCGCCAGGCGCTGGCGCCCGGATGCCCGCCGATCCGCGGCCCCAGACCTGGCGGGAGACGAGGTCGCCGGCCCTCGCCCCGCTGCCCTTCCTGATGGGAGCCGAGGGGAGGGCGGGCCAGGATGGCTGGCAAGCTGTGCCTCCGGGGTGAAGACTCGTAACGCACGCTAAACCGCGGCGCAGACCCCACCTCATTCGAAAATCCGCCGGAGAGGCAGCGGGTCCTCGGGGAGCGCCGCGCGCCTCGCTCCCCGGCGCGCCCTGCTCCCTTCGTGCGCGCCGCTTCCTTGCGCGTTCCCTTCCCGTCGCGCGCCCGCCTCCCCTCGAGCTCCCGGCTTTCCCCAGCGCGCCCGGCTCCCTTCGCTGGACCCATTCGGCTCGCGCGCGCGCCGCCTCCTCGCGGACTCCCCGGAGCCGCCCCGCGGGGAGGAAGGCGGTGGCGGCGAGGTGGGGGGAGATCGGCGGCCGCCGCTTCGCCGCCCGGGCCGAGAAGGGAGGGCGGAGCAGCAAACTTGGCGCGGCAGCTGGCGGCCCGGGGCGGAAGGGGTGCTGGGGACCCGTGGAGCGTGCGGAATCGCCAGCCCGGCCCAGCATTGTCCCTCTTTTCCTCTACTCGTCTCTCCGCCCACTGTTCGCGGTGGTGGGGAGGGGTGCGGATGCGGGCGCTGTGCCCGCGCTTTTTCGGGCCGGCTGTGCACCCCCAGACCTGGAGTCGGAGCCAGCCCCACAGACGCCCCAGCCACCGCCCCAGGGCGGACGGGGCCTGTTGAGTGTCTCGGTTGCTCTCAGCCCTCACCGGCGCAGACTGCCTCAGTTTCCCACCGCTGCTGAGCTCTTCTTGCAACTTTTTTTTTTCCCCCCGATTGATGGAAGTTGTGGCTTCTGGGCGGCAGGTTCTTTGGGCATAAGCTCGTATCCTGCGTTCTGGAGAGGCTGATTTCTAGGGCGAAGTGGTTCTTGGTTGCTGTGGGTCTTTGCTCCCATCCCCAGTTTCGTTCCTCCGCACATAAAATCTCTTTCGTGGATTTGCAATTATGTGGGAACATTAAACTCTCAGGTCAAGATAATTTGAAAAGGAAAAAAAAAGGGGGGGGCGCTGTGCTGGTGAGGGGAAGAGCTCTATGTAGAGCCAAATTTGCCTTAACCTTTGAACTGTGGAAAGTATTTTCTCTACTAACTAGAGGAGGCTCTTGTAGGAGGAAAAGGAAAAAGAAAACCAGGCTGCTAGGGTCTATGAGATTAGGAAAAAATAGACTTTTGATAGAAATGAAGTTAGTTTTGTAAAAATACTTTTCTGCCTAACATATTTTCCGTAAAGTTAACTTCTATTGAACTCAGGAATTATCATTAGTAACAGCAACTTTTACTACTGATAAAACAAGTGTAAGAGGTTTTTTTCATCTTGAGCATTATTGCTAAGGTGTACCTGTCAATACTTGCTAAAGAAGTCATATTTAGAAACAGCACATTCCTTGTTAGAGACCTTACTTAGAAAAGGAATGTTTTTCATAAGCATGCATTTTTGACAGTTTCTTCTTGCACAATACTTTGTAGAGTACTTGCATGTGCAAGTTACAGCCCTATAAACAAAGTAGCAGTGGGTGTGTTATTCTGTAGTCTTTTTTGCTACTCATTATCAAAAATAGCATTCCATCCTGTCTTGTCTTCCTTTCTGAGTTATTTTGTAAAATGATTTCTGTACAAGAGTGAATTTTGCGGGAACACCAGGCCCAGTGGGTTTAAAAAAAAATTTTTTTTTAAAGCAATACTAAGTAATACTTCCCAAAGTCGTCATTGATTAACTCACTATTTAGTAACTTTCTGAGTGGTGTGGAACATAAGTTCACAGGCTTAGCAATAACAACAAGAGAAACTATACTTGGGAAACTGAAAACCAATTTCAGGTAATGTTTGAGTTGCTCTATTCTTCCCACAGAATTTAGGAAATGCAGACACACAAAAACATGATCTTTTGTAGTAATCTTTTAAAATTAAAAAATTTCCAGTTACTGTTGACCTACAATATTATATTAGTTTCAGGTATATAACAGTGATTAGACATTTATATAACTTAGAAAGTGATTATCCTCATAAGTCATCATACATAGTTGTTACAATATTATTGACTACAATCACCATGCTGTAGTAATCTTGATAGTATCTGACATTGTACCTAATGTTCCCCCACCCAGCTCTCCTTAATCCTCTTCTGTGATAAGGATGCCAGGCCAGCTTACAGGCATAATCTTCCTTTCCATTTCATAACAGAAGGTAGAAGATTAAAACAAGTTTAGAAATTTCTGTCTTTGTTTACTTACCAGCTTATTTAAACAATAGAATTTCTGAACCTTTAAAAGAGCACACATTAAAAAAAAAAATCCAGAAAGAATTATCTTTGAAATATCTAGATTATGTTTCCTGGAAAACATATTTTTCCTGTGAGCTTTTCACATTGTTTTAAACATATTGTCTTATATGTATATATACACACATTGCCAAAACATTTTTTGAGTTGCGAATTGTCCCTTGAGATCTTTGGGAACTAGGACTGCCTTCCATTTTTGAGCAAGTTCACTGTGTCACCTAGTACCTTTCTAGTGCCCAATTCATATGTTGTCTTAGGTCTGTGACAGAAAAAGATAATGTTCTGTAGAGGCTGCTTGAGAAACTAATTTTTACTTTTTTAATAAACACCTTTCTAAACAAGTTGCATCAAACAACAGCTTGTTCATTATCTGGAGGAAGATGTATTAACCTTTTTGTTTTGTGTACAGAAATGTGATTTAATTGTTTATAATATCTGTTCCACAGATATCTTTCGTGACAGTGATAGCTTGTCACAGTTATTAGAACTAGGTTTAGTCTGTCAGCATCTGTTGAGTACCCATTTATTTAAGGAGTATTATGGGAAGATAAAATAGAAATGGATGACAGTCATTATTCTCAAAAGTATACAGTATACTAGGAAGATACAGAGTTATCATCCATAGGAGAAAGACTGTGTGTATCTTAGTGCAATAACAGGTGCAGAGTAACAGCAACACAATATTCATGCCAAAATGGTAAAGGAATAGTGGATAACAGAAGAACCTAGATGAAGTGAGAAAGTTTTCATTCTTTTATATAGCAGATTATATATATATATATATATATATATATATATATATATATAATAAATTTTAAAAATAAAGTATGTTTGGGGATAGGTTGGGTGTATGTTTTCTACTTGAAATATTTTTATCTATAAAATGTTTTGGGTGGGGGGCAGAGCATGTGCTCTGAATTTCAACTATTGTTACTTCACCAGACCAATCATGCATCTAACCCAGCTCAAATGTCACCTTGTCTACAAGCTTTTCTGTTCTAGTCATAAGTGACTACTCTTTCCTCTTGCTTCTATAAAACCCTTTTACAGTATAAGCCATGCTCTGACTTACAGTATGGTTATGTGTTTATTTCTTCATTAGATTGTGGCCTTCTGTAAAAACCATTAACAAAAGTTAGAGCTCCCCCCGCTTTTTTTTTTTTTTTAACTTGTCTAAAGTCCTTGAGCAGTTTTATTAGGCTACTAGTATTCTGTAAAACCATAAGCTATTAAGAAGTTCAAATTTTGGGGGGGGGTGAGTGGGGGAAAGTGTATGTGTGTTTAAAGGAAAAAAATTTTCCTTACCACCAAAATATCACATGCTCATTTAAAAATATTAATATGAAAGAAATGTATAATTTTTTTTTAAAGATTTTTATTGGGGAATTGGAAAAGGGAACATGTGTTTTTCCAGGACCCATCAGCTCCAAGTCAAGTTGTTGTTCTTCAGTCTTGGTTGTGGAGGGTGCAGCTCAGCTCCTAGTCCAGTCTCCGCTTTCAATCTAGTTTGGGTGGGGGTGTGGGGGGGTGGCAGCGGCCGCGCAGGCCGCCATCCCATGCAGGAGTTGAATCTGCAACCTTGTTAAGAGCTTGCACTCTCACCAGCTGAGCCATCCGGCTGCCTGTTGGCATCTCAGCAGCAGCTCAGCTTGGGCGCAGCTCACTGGCCCATGTGGGAATTGAACTGGCAGCCTGTTGCTCAGAGCTTGCGCTCTAACCAACTGAGCCACCCGGCCGGCCCAAAATGTATAATTTGAAATTAAAAGTACTCTTATAACACTGCCCTTATCGCATTATAACTATTGGTAATGGTTTGGTGTTTATTCTTCTAGATTTTTCCCCGTTTATTATCTTTAGATAGTACTGCTTTATACTATCATGCTTGAAAATTTTAATTAGTAAGTTGTGTTTACTGGGAATGGAGAAAGGCAATCAGTTTTTGTACACTTACTAAATTTTTCCAGGCTCAGTAATTCTGGCTCTTTTATATCTTTCCTTGAGCTATGTAAGGCTGCCACGAGTATGTTTGTATTCAAAACATAGAGTTCATAATCATTTAAAAAATTGATCAAAATCTGTGTCCCTGAACAGTTTGCCGTTATTTACCCTAAAATACATTTGGAGTACATACTCTAAGCACAATTTTTTTTCATTTCTTGACTTTTCTTATCTCTAGAGAGCATTAAAAATTACTTTGAAACTGCCAACAGGCACTTCTTACAGTAGCCAAAGAAGGAATGTGCAGAGGCTTGTCTCTAACTCTGCAGTTGCTCATAAAAAAAGGGGCAAGAACTTACTTAGGCTGATGAAGTAGTGATAAGATTCTATTGTTCAGGTGCTTCTTTAAGCTGGTCCTGGAGGGGACTAGAAAGCCCAGCTGCAAGTAGCCAGTTGGCCTAATTAGCTGAGAAATCTTCATTTATTAAGCAAATTTTTATTGAGAATTGCACCTACTTTGTGCACCATGGTAGGCATTGAAGATGAGGTTAAGTCTGCCTCTCTAGAGACCGAGTGGTACATGTGATTCAAAGGCAGCGAAAACAGTGCCAGCTTAGGTGAATGTATTCTTCACTCTTGTTTATTGTTCTACATAGCTTCTTCTGAAGCGTCCTAGCAAACAGACCTGGTGTTCCATGGGAGGTGGGTTGGGGTCCATGGAGCCTGTTAAATGTGTGAGTGCTACTGCTCTGCCTAGGAAATGTGTGAGTGCTACTGCTCTTCCTATGTGGCAGAATATTTCTGGAATTCTACAAACATTGGTGTGTCTTTGCTTATACCCTACAGGGATCATCTATTTCAAAGCTTGCCATTATGAGACTACATCTGTCTTCTAACAGATAATTCATATTTTGCTGATGGAGTAGTAACACATTCTTTTAAACTCAGTGCTATAATAAATAGATGTCTGTGTCAGAATTTTTAATGTTAAAGAAATAATTACAGTAAAACCTTGGATTGCGAGTGACTTGGATTGCGAGTGTTCCGCAAGACGAGCAAACATTTCTAATACATTTTAATGTGGTAAACGAGCGATGTCTTGCAATACAAGTAGTTTGTTTTTGGAATGAATTATGCTCACAAACCAAGGTATTACTGTATTTTGAAAAATCACTTGTATTAAAATACAGAATTAAGTATTTCTAACTTTTACAAAATGGATCCCCCCCCCCAAATGTCTGTTGCTTGATCTGTGTGTTTGTGGGGAAAGAATTGGATTGTTAAGAAAGGGACCTTGTAGGACTGTCAGTGATGGGGTCAACTAGACCAGGAAGACTGTCTCACAGAGGGGTATATCCTGTGGAGTTTGACCATAGTGCAGCAATTAGGGATTTGTCAAGTTTTGTGAAGAGTTCAAGTTTCAGAATGACAGCTTTATTGAGACATAACTTACGTACCATACAGCTCATCTATTTAAAGTATGCAATTCAATGATTTTCAGTATATTCCAGAGTTGTGCGCCACCTCCACAATCAATTGTAGAACTTTTTCATCCCCTTCCCAATCTCCCTTCCTTTCCCTAGTCTACATTCCATCTCTGTACATTTGCCTGTTCTGGACATTTCATAACAATGAAA